CAGGCCGCTCGCGGGGCGTCGCGACGAGGGGCGCCTCTTGTCTGGAAGCTGCGTGTTCCCTGCCCATTGCCCATCTCCCACGTTCTCTTTGGGTTGTTGGCTGCTCAGATGAAGCGCGTCTGAGATGGACTGGGCCAGCTGAATAGCCCCTTTCAAGGGGACCCTGGGCCTACTTCATCATGAGGCATGAGTTAACTTTCCTCCAAAGTACTTGTGTCCTTGTGCATGAAACTACTGCTTTTATTCAGACTAGCCAAACTTCTAGTGGACTTCAACAAGCTCAGTTTGTCATCTTCCATTCTGCAAAGCTGCAAGGCAGAAAGACCTGCTGCTTTGGCTCAGCTGACATCTGGGTACCTTGACCTTCTCTATCTGTTTAGGCAGGGCCTAGAGCAGGGGATTGGCTTCCTCGTGGGCGTTTGGCACGGCCCGGGGGTCTCCTGCAGCGCTGCTCTCCTGTGTTGCAGCTGCGGTGGAAGCCTGTGTCCTGCACGGGCTGAAGCGGAGGGCGGCCGGATTCCTGCGCAGCAACAAGATAGCGGCTCTGTTCATGAAGGTGGGCAAGAGCTTTCCCCTGGCAGAGGAGCTTTGCAAGAAGGTGCAAGACCTGGAGCAGCTTATTGAGAATGCGTAAGGCACCTGCACTCCTGCCTGCTCGCAGGTCGCTTGCGTCCTCGTGTGGGATGGCCGCAGGTTCAACCCAGGCTCTGCAGGGCGGGCGGGCTGCTCCTTTAGCTGTTGGTGCCCTGAGTGCACACACAGTGTCCCAGCTATTCCCTGTGCCTCTTGTCCCCTCCCTGCTAAGCATGCTTGTGCCTGAGCTGTCACAGTTTATGGATCAATAAGTCGACTGGAGGCAAATTCCTCAGTGTATAGGGCTTTAACCTGCAGTTATCCGGCTGCTGCTTGAGAGTGACTTACTCATCCTTGGACGGGTACCAGGGAGAGGCATGAAGCACTACCTGGGGGCAGGAATGTTTAAGCTGTCCTAAGATAAGCTGCTTTGCTTACAGATTTCTATCTTCAAGCACCAGGGAAAAGGTCTGCAGGTCTGAGAACGGCACTGAGCCGGAGAGTTCACCAGGACATTTTTATTATTGGAAATGGTTTTAGTGAAGTCCCTTTTCAAATGTAGATTTGGGCCTTCGGGAGCAGGGAATGGAGTGGCTGAAGGGAGCAGGCCCCAGGACCCGTCCCCGCGCGTTTCCCTGGGCAGTGGCAGCCAACACCGCCGAGATCCTGAGCTGGAGCCCACGCGGGGCCTTGGGTGAGTCCTGCAGGCCTCAGTGCTGATCTTGTCTTCTGCCTTGTGCCTCTAAAGACGAAACCAAGTCCAAGGCGTCCCGGAGAGCGTGCGCAAAGTGCCGAAGCTGCCCAACCTGTCTCCTCAGGCCATCAAGCACCTCTGGATCCGCACAGCCCTCTTCGAAAAGGTCTTGGATAAAATCGTGCATTACTTAGTTGAGAACAGCAGGTGAGTGCTGGCATGAGCCACCCCTTTGCTGCTCCTGGGAGCATCCCCAGAGTCTGCATCTCGCCGGGGTGCTGGAGGGGCTGCTGGCTGAGCTGCAGCCAGGGGGGCCGTGGGGGACCCGGGATGGAACAACCCCGCTGTGTCCTGCTGTGCTCAGGACAGGCCTCCAGCTGATCCCTTGCTGCAGGAGCAGCGCTGGAGGGGAAAGACCACTCCTAAAATAGACAGGCTTGTTCTGCTGGTGGCCGAGCGCTCTGTGTTTGCGCTCTCCTTGTCCTTCCCTAGCTTTTACAGAGGGCATGTCTGGGTCTGGCTCTGGAAGGTTTTGTTTCCAGCCCTCAGGAGGTTTGTTCCCCCGCAACTGCACAGCTGGCGGGAGCAGCCTGTGATAGACTTGTGGTCTCTTCAGCAAGGGGGGACAAAGAAAAGGGCATTTTTGTGTTTTCAAAGCGCTGTCTGAATCTCTTTGCACTCCCAGGGGGCTGAAATGCTGCAGTCTTCTCTTTCTTTTATTTCTTCTAGTAAGTACTATGAGAAAGAAGCTCTCCTGATGGATCCTGTGGATGGGCCAATTCTTGCGTCTTTACTGGGTAACACTTTCCTCTTATCCAACTGTCATAGCTGACTTTCCAAACCTGTGTTCCCAATTCCATGATGTTTAGCGAGGACTCTAGAGGCCATAGTACTGGACCAGCTCCTGGAGCTGCATGGGGCTTGTAGCAAGAGCACAACTGGCTGCTGATGGGAGGATCCAGGCTTCGGGAATGCTCACAGGCAGAACCCAGCCCTGAGTCCTGGAGCTGCAGAGCAGGGAAGTGCTGTAACGCAGGGCTCTGCGTGTGTACGGCTGGTGGTGTAACGGGCTGGCTGGCTGCTCTGCCGGGGTGGCTGCGTATCGCTGTGTCCTGGCTGCTCTCACATAGCACAGCAATGTGTCCTGAGCCTGGAGCTGGCTGCTTGCCACCCCACCGCCCTGCTCCGGGCGCTGGGCTCTGCGGGTCCTGGAGCAGAGTGTTGTACTGGTGGCTTCCTAAAACTGACCTGGTCTGCGACTTCCTTCCCTGCGCAGTGGGGCCCTGCGCGCTGGAGTACACCAAGATGAAGACGGCCGATCACTTCTGGACAGACCCGTCGGCCGACGAGCTGGTGCAGAGGCACCGCATCCACAGCTCGCACTGCCGCCAGGACTCCCCCACCAAGCGCCCTGCGCTCTGTGTGAGTGCGGGCAGGGCGCTGGCGTGGGCAGCCTCCCGCGGGGCCGGGGCTGGAGGCTCCGTCTCTGCAAAGAGCTCTGAAGCCCTCTGAGGAGAGCGGGTAGAAACGTGCAGTTACTTGAAGCCTCCAAGGTGGCACAGCTGAAAACGTGGGCTGCGGGGAGCACAGGCTTGCTGGAGCAGTAGGACATCCTGGTGTTTGCCCTTTGGGAACACCATCTGTGACTTAAAAGTAAAGGCAGTTGTAGCTTACTCTGCTTACTGCAGACAAGTGCAGTCCTGGGGCTTTTGAAAGTACAAACCTGAGCTTGGCTAGAGCCAAGAATCCTCTTGGAGGGCACAAAGGAGAGTGCATTTCTTCAGTGTGTAACTGAGGGAAGGAAGAAGCTTTTAGGATGGGCTTTTTTAAAATGGTAGATGTGTGTTCTCAACTCACATTCATAGCCGATCTCTTCCAGATTCAGAAAAGGCACTCGAGTGGCAGTATGGATGACCGGCCATCGCTGTCTGCCAGGGACTACGTGGAGTCGCTGCACCAGAACTCCCGAGCCACACTCCTCTATGGCAAAAACAACGTCCTGGTGCAGCCAGTAAGTGCCCGATGGGGTGTCTGGGCTTTAAATTGCTGCTCTGCTCCCCTACAGGTAATTCTGTCCCAGGGTGCTCTCTGATGGAGATGGGGACAAGCTCATTTTCAGTCTGTGAGGGCAGCAGCTGGAATGCATTTATTGAGGTCCTGGCAATACAGATCTTCCTGGTGGAATGGAAGATCTCTGCTGCTGTCTGAACACAGACAGACTTCCGCATCTGCTTGCTGTAATCAAATAAAGCAGAACTGCTTACACTGATGGTTTGCCTCAGCTAGGCAGCTGCTCTCAGCCCCTTGCCAAGCCAGCAAGATCTCCTGGTAGCTCTGCTGGGAGGTTTTGCAGAGCTGCTGCAGGCTGCTCGCCAGCAATGAGGAGATGGGCTCCGGGCAGCAGCCGGGCCCCGTTGCCACCCAGGACTCTGCTCCAGGCCGTGGGTCAGTGTGGGGTGCCTCCCTGGGGCCTGCACGCTCCTGCTCGCACCGGCTCACGCTTTCCCTGTGTTGCCTTTCTAAAGCGAGATGACATGGAAGCAATCCCGGGATATCTGTCGCTTCACCAGACTGCCGACATCATGGCCCTGAAGTGGACTCCCAACCAGCTGATGAACGGCTCCGTGGGGGATCTGGACTATGAGAGGAGGTGACTGGCTCTAAGCGCGTCCTGACGTGGGCAGCAGGGAGGCAGGTGACCCTGGGAGCTCAGAGCTTGGATCTGGCACTTGCTGCCCTTGGTGAGGTTTTTCCACCGACTTTGCAGAGCAGAACTGTCCTCCCGGAGTTTGTAACAGAGGGTGGGAGAGGGAAGGGGGAGGCCTGTGGTGATGGCAGAGATGAGCTGGTTGCTTTATTGCCCCCCGTGATTTCCTGGGGAGAACGTGCACCACATGCTGCACTGTGTATTTGTTATTCCTAGTTAGTCCAGGGAACCAAAGAGCTTGTAGAAAGGGGAAGAGCATCTGCAGAGAGAGGAGACATGAACAGCTCCCAAGTAACTGTGCCTCTGTAACAGAGTGTGTGCCATTTCAGACTGCTGTTTATCAGTGCACTCTGCAGCTGATCTTTCGCAGAGGTATTCAAAGTCCTTCAGATTTAATGGAGTCCCTGGATTTCTTTTTTTTTCTTCTGGTAGGGCTGAAATCTACTTAAGAGAAGTTTACTCGATAGTATGTGCTGCAGAGCCCCTGCATCTGGGATTGACATCTGTGCTGGTGGCACTTCTCTTGACAGCAGCAATCCTTCAGCAACTACTGAATCATGCCAGGCCCTGATTTGCCTGAAAAACAAAACAAAACAAACAGAAAATCTCTTTCTCCTAGTAGATGCTCCAGGAAAGCTGGAGCATTTAGGACATAGCGTGTTTCTTTGGCCTGGGGAAAAGACTTTTCAGTAAAACTTGTTTTCGGGTTGTTGATTCTCAATTGTAGTTCTGCATTTTGTTTTTCTGTCTTCTTTTCATCTTGTCTTTGCTTTTGGCTCCTGGGGGCTGTTCCATATAACTGGTACCCTCACCCTCAATTTGCTATTTCCATCTCTATGCTACTCTCTGAGTTCTTGGCTTGGGCATCAACCTAAGCTCTAAAACTTCCCAGTGTCAAGATGTGACCAAAGAAGAGAGGAGCCAGATGACAAAGTGAGTATGTATCTCTTAGGAGTGACTCTTACACACTCCTCCTCATATTAAACTCTCCCTACGAGATGTTTTTTAAGGCCTATATTTTAAGCACTATTTTTGCAAAGTGCCAGATACTGATTTTTAGGATCTGGATTTTTTTTTTCCCAATGAAATAGGATATTATTGAATGCTGACAGTCTCGCAGGGCAGTCCTCTTGCTGAGCTTCCTCCTGGTGTCCCCGTGCCCTCTGTCCCGCGATGCTCCTGGCACGTTCTGTGTTTGCCCAGGGGTGCCTGTGCTGGGGGAGCACAATTCTGAAGCAGAAGCAAACAGAGACAAATCTATTCTGAGCTTTGGAAAAGGCACAAGTCGTTAGGGTTTATTGCCTCCGTTGGATAAAGGAGCTCATCGGAGCAGTGGCCAGGCTCAGGCTGCACCGCGTGTCCCCTCGGGGCTCCCGAGCTGCTCATCCCGGCTTCCTGGGGTCTCCCAGCACCGTGGGAGTCACTTCCAGGGTGCTTGGAGCAGAGTGCTCGGCTCCCTGCCCTCTGCGCCCCGTCTGCCGCCACCGAGTTCCTGTTGGGCAACGGGGACGCAAGGGCAGAGGAGCAGCCTGGGGCAGGCGGGACTAGACCGGCTCTGGTTGCGCTGGAGCAGAGAGGGGCTGCTTGGGGAGGCATGTTGTCACTGACTGATGTGGAGCCACGTCCTTTCCCTGCCTTCCCAAGGCATTAGGAGAGCTGGGGACAGGATCTGGAGTGGATGTGAAGTAGAGCTCCTTGCATCCCTCCACTCAGGACTTTTTCTTCTCTTCCAGTGTGTACTGGGATTATGCCATGACTATTCGCCTGGAGGAAATCGTCTATTTGCACTGTCACCAGCAAGGTAAGGCCAGAGTGTGGAGGGCTGCTGGACTGGATGGTTCTGTGGGCTCCTTTTATCATCCTGACATTTGCATCATGTTTTGGGGATGTGCTCTTTTGGGAATGCTTTCATTCAGCTCCAGGGCAGATGTCTCTAGCACCAAGTTCAAAACACCAAAATTCTGGTGCTTTGAATTCCAGAAAGACAATTTTCCTCTGCATTTCTGGCTGCTCTTGTTTCCCTCACTTGTACGTATATCTTTTCTCTGCTGTTGCTAATAGTAGACAGTGGTGGGACCGTCGTCTTGGTGAGCCAGGATGGGATTCAGCGGCCTCCACTGAGGTTCCCCAAAGGGGGACATTTGCTGCAGTTCCTGTCCTGCCTGGAAAACGGCCTCCTACCCCATGGGCAGTTGGATCCACCCCTGTGGTCGCAGCGGGGAAAGGTAGGCACGTGGAACGGGGCTTGTTCCTGAGGACACGGTGTTGGGGACTCTCAGGGCAGATCTAAAGGGGAGGACCCTCTACCTAGGGTTACTGGTGCTGTATTTCAAATGGCAAACCCTCCAAAGTGGGAAGAAAGACAGACTTGAAATATGGCAGGCTGGTTTAGCTTGTACCCTTGAGCCTCTGGGCTAATCCCAAGCCATTTTCTTGTGGCTGCTTGGCCTTAGAAGAGCAGGGTCTCCACACGGAGCGAGGGAGGAGGTGTGGGGGTGCTGCCTGTCCACAAGGCATGGGGGGTTTAGGTCCTTGTCCAATGGACCTCCTCATGAATTATGGATTACTGTAATCTATGATACATGGATTATAGCAGCTGTGTGCATAACCAGGGTTATTTACTACAAGAAGGGCATGGGGCAGCTGTGTGAAGGGCAGGTTTTATTCACCTAGGGGAAGGTGTTTCCCAAGCTGAGGAAGCGAAGTCCCCAGGGCTCCTCCGAGTCTGCGTCTGACAAGGAAGATGATGAAGCCACAGATTATGTTTTCAGAATCATCTATCCAGGGACACAGTCTGAGTTTGGTAAGTGTGATGGCAGTGAGCGTTTCGGGAGGGTTATCACTGTGCGTATGAAAAGCCCAAGACCCAACGTGGTCAGGCATATTGCGAACTGTGGACGTGGTTCCAGAGAAGAGTTTGTTTATAGCAGAACTGCCTTTTATTAAAAGAAACTTTTTTAAAAAACATGACATTTTGCTTGCTACTGAATCTTTTGTTTCTGCAGATGTAGAATAGAATACAAGTGCCGATATGGCGGGAAAAAAATCTTGTACTTAGCTCAGTGCCAGTGTTCATTTTGATCATGTTCTTGGGCCTTCTCCTTCAAGGAAGCAGGTGTCTGTGGATGGGGTCAGTTTTCATCATTCTGGCCTCCAGGTCTGATTCTTCTCTTGCTATCACCAGGCCAACTAGGGAAGCACTCTACTAAATCCAGCCGTGTTCCTTCGCTCCTGCAGCATAAAGAAGTGGTAGCAGCAACCTTCTCTGTGCACTGCCAAGCTTGAGCCATGTATCTTCCCTCCTTAGCTCACAGGGCAAGGCAGATGATCCTGCCTAACTCACAGACCAGAAATCTCTCTTAATATCTAGTTCTGAATGATCTAAATAATGTGTTTGACTGTACATCTCAGTCTGAACTTTTGGGATACCATGAACACTTTTACAACGATCCCTCTGGAAGTCTGTAGATGTTTTTATAAGAGGAGAAACAGAGAGTGCAACATAAACCTGCTGGTGTGCTTTTAAAAGGCATGAAATTTGATCAAAAATCTGTTTCTACACTTTTGAGGCTATAAGGGGCTTCACATCTCCTCCAACTCCTCCATAACATCAGTAAAAATTATTCTTAGTCTCCCCCGCTGCCTTTAGCTGAGTAACAGAATTGAATCAGATAAAAATCTGACTGAAGCTAAAATAGCTGATAGAGAGGATCTTTTCTGTAGCTTCCCTTTGATCTCCTCCATGAAATTCCATGCTGGAGGCCAAATTTTCTGTTAAATGAATTGTTTCCATCTCCTCAGCTGATGTCAGAGGCCTGTGCGGTTCCTGTGGATGTTCCCAGGAGGGGGTAGAACTGCGTCAGCTCTTTACATACTATGTTTTTGTGCCATTCATTTGTGCCTTTGTCCTGTCTCTGTGTCTTCTTTAGTTACCAGTAATGGTAATTTTCCTACATTACTTGCTTCTGCGATCTCCGTCCCTGCCGGGAGAGGGAAGATCCCGAGGACTCCAGCTTCAAGCAAGACGGTGGTGATCCCCAAATGGTCTCTGAGCCTCCTCGCCACGTCCCGACCTCCCCTTGCCACTCTGGGGGCCGTTCGGCATCACTGTAATGCAGCCCTCGTTCATGTTTGGTACCACTGCTTCTCTGTGCTGTCATTTGGCAATTCCTGCAGCGAGGTGTCCCCTGTCACTGCTGACCATAACAGACCTATCGGCACCTGCTCAGGCAGAGGGAGAGGGAAGAGGCTTCAGTAAGAGTATTCCAGTCTCTTCTTGCCTGTATCAGCAGTTATTCAGTATCGCAAGCAGGGAGAGCTGGTGAGCCTCGCAGGGAGCAAGCCCTCTCCTAGATGAAAGCTTCAATTTCTACCATGTTTTGATTTCTAGTGAGGAACAAATAGGATTATTCTTCCCTGCTCTTTGTCTTCATCCCATAGTTCACCTTCTTCGCGATGTCCCTGTCCTAGGGAGATGCAACACTAAAGGGCCGTTGCAGGACAGTCCCTGTCCTAGGGAGGCCCAATGCTCAGGTCAGCAGAGCTTCTGAGGTTAAGCAGGGATTTAGCAAATGACAACATAAAGAGCTGCTGCTTGCTCCTGCTGTCCCTCTCAACTGCTCCATCAATTCTTTCTTCCTGTCTTGTGACTGGGATGCTCCTCTCTTTCTCCAAGGCTCGTGTGGGACCCTGATGTTTGAAAGATGGGGCCTTTTTTCTTCCAGTATCCATTCTTCCTGGGACAAAGTTTCATCAGGTTATTGCTTCTCTTTGTGACGGAGCCTGTTGCAGCCCCTTGTCTTGGCTCTCTCCGGGCTGGGTTTTCTGCCTGGATTGGCACTCAGTGATTCAGGATGAGCTTGCTGAAGGCACTGGAAATAATTAGCAGATGGTGCTCTCTTGTTCTCTGTCATCGGGGTTCTTTGTGTCCCTCCTTTCTCCTGAGCTCGTCAGTGCTGGGGCTGTGATCACCTGGCGTGGGTCCTGCCTGGTCACTGGAGTCTCCTCGGGAAGACCATGTGTTTGCTAATGAAATCTCTTTGCTGTTGGCCTCCCGTGGGGCAGCTGCGGGGGCAGTGCCCGGGCCGCAGCTGATGCTCCCTCTCTCTGCGCTCCCGCAGTCCCCCAGGAGCTGATGGACGCGCAGGGGGGTGCCCTGCCTCCCCTGGGGCAGCCCAGC